CCGAAAATGTAAATTTTACAGGAGAGACAAAAAACTGATTATTTCCTTCTCAATCGCTCTAATACAAATTTTTTTTAAAGATATCTCCGAAGAAACTCTCTACCGACTATACTGTAGCGTTTTAAAATGGGTTTTGTTGATATTTACAAAATTAAAGCAGGTTTAAAAAGATAGACGGTTTGCTCGGTCTAAAATTCTCGGTGCAAACCGTATATCTGTGCGCGCGCAGACTAGGCCGTTTTGAACCGAGAATTTCGGTCTCAACCGCGTTCGTTCGTTTTGTCCAATGAACGTGATTTAGTTATGTTTATGTTTTTAAGTTATAATTAACACTTCATAATATTTAGATTATAGTTTTGGGCTCATATTTTAATTATTTGAGTTTATTCTACATTATGGGGTCAGTTTAATTTTTAGTACAGATGTTTTAGTATGGCTTTATCGCTTTCGACTGTATTCATTATGTCTGTATTTAGCACTAGACTTGTTAACTGTTGAAGGTTATGTTTTATTTATTACATCTTTCTATTCTCACAGTTTATTTTACTAAATCTGGTGGGTGCTGGGTTTGTAGAATGATAATAGTAAAAACAGAAACCGTATTGTCAGATATATTATGAATGAGACATAACACACTAATCACATTAATACTGACTTAATGTTTACTTTTTTTACAAAAATGTAACACAAAAAATGTGTTTATTTTAAAAATTTATTCTTTGAATAAACGTCACATAAAGAAACATTAAAATGGCAACATATTTTTTAAAACCAGGGAAATCATCATAAAAAGGTGTGTTTATGGCTTGCTTTTAGGTGCTCAAATATGACAACTTTTATCTTTTTTTTCTGCTCTTGTACAACTTGTCAGGTGCTACGGATGAGATAATAATCTTACGACCCTAGCTTAGCAATTGCCAGCTATCTGTTAATTCACTTTGAAGTAGATTGTAGCATCATGGTTGTACTGCAGTGCACGAATATCTGTCGCTTTAAATTCTTGATAGGTCTGGCTGGTCTTCTGTGATCGGCTGGTCTCTTGTATGGTAGGCTGGTCTTTTTGAGAGAGGTTGGTGTCTAATGTCAGTTATGTGAGGCTGGTCTATTGTATGTTATGACTGATCTGTTGAGAAAGGCTGGTGTCTTGTATGGTAAGACTAATCGTTTGAGAGTGTCTGGTTTCTTGTATGGTAAGAATGGACTGTTGAAAGATGCTGGTATGTTGAGAGAGGCTGGTATGTTGAGAGAGGCTGGTCTGTTGAGAGAGTCTGGTCTGTTGAGAGAGGCTGGTCTGTTGAGAGAGGCTGGTATGTTGAGAGAGACTGATATGTTGCAGAGGCGTAGCGACCCTTCCCGAACTTTTCATTTGCACCCCCCCCCTCAAACTTTCGATTTGCACCCCCCCTCGAACTTTTCATTTGCACCCCCCTCAAACTTTCAATTTGGCGCCCCCCTAAGGTCGGCGCCCGGGGACATACGTCCCCCCCCCCCCCGCTACGCCTCTGATATGTTGAGAGAGGCTATTCTTTTGAGAGAGGCTGGTCTGTCGAGTGAGGCTGGTATGTTGAGAGAGGCTGGTTTGTTAAGAGAGGCTGATCTGTTAAGAGAGGCTGGTATGTTGAGAGGCTGGTCTGTTGAGAGAGACTGGTCTGTTGAGAGAGGCTGGTCTGTTGAGAGAGGCTGGTTTGTTGAGAGAGGCTGGTATGTTGTGAGAGGCTGGTATGTTGTGAGAGGCTGGTATGCTGAGAGAGGCTGGTATGATGAGAGAGGCTGGTATGTTGAGAGAGGCTGATCTGTTAAGAGAGGCTGGTCTATTGAGAGAGGCTGGTCTGTCGAGAGAGGCTGGTCTGTTATGTGGTAAGACTGGTCTGTTGTGAGAGGCTGGTATACTGAGAGAGGCTGGTATGCTGAGAGAGGCTGGTATGCTGAGAGAGGCTGGTATGCTGAGAGAGGCTGGTATGCTGAGAGAGGCTGGTATGTTGAGAGAGGCTGGTGTGTTGAGATAGGCTTGTCTGTTGAAAAATTAATCATAAAAGCATTTACTAAAGACAACTAACCATGTCGTTGAACATGTACGCCAAACATTTTGTAACTTACCATATAAACATTTCTTAACACGTATCTAAACCCTCAACAGGGGCGTAGCGAGGGGGGGGGGGCGGGGGGTGCGGACCGCACCGGGTGACACCATTTAGGGGGGTGACACCAAGGCAAAAAATAGCAAAATATATAGAGAAAAACTCGAGGGGGGGGGGGTGCAAATCGAAAGTTTGAGGGGGGGGTGCAAATCGAAAATTTGAAAGTTTGTCCCTGGGAAGGGTCTCTATGCCTCTGGGGGGGTGACACCATTAAGTGCCGCACCGGGTGACACCCGACCTCGCTACGCCACTGACCCTCAATCTAAAGCTAAGCTCTAGTAGTGAATTAACAATTATTAAATTTATTGCACATTCTTGTGGAAATATTATTCGAATTATATTGTTTTGATTTATATATTGATTCTAGAATGAAGATCTATTTTAAAAGCATTGTGTTAGCCTAAAAAATTGTAAACAAATCAGTTTGGTTTTTGAAAATCAGGAAATAGGCTATATTAAGCAAATACTATTTGTTTATTATTCTTTAAAATAATAAAATTTAATAGAATAGTTGAATATAATTAATCAAATATCCTTACCTATAAGTACTGCTGTGCTGTAAAATTGTGTGATTACGGCGTGCGACTGCGTTCCCGATCAAAAGTGAACTGACAAATATAGCGATATTCGTTTTGCGCCGAGATTTTTAGCGCTAGAAATAATAGGCGGTTTGTTCAAATGATTATATCTCAATAATCATTCTACAGATTTCTATAATATTTTCAGGCATTATGGGGAATCATATTGGCTTTTGATTTATGTAAAAAAAAGAAAATCGAATTTTTTTGAGTTAGACGGTTTGCGACCGTGACCATCGATATATATATATTTATATTTATATATATGTTACGGTCAAAGCCCGAAGTGCGGCCAAACCCCGGATTGGCCGGCCAATGCGCGGATTGGCCGGCTCTCTTGGCCAAAGCCCGAAGAACTTAGAACTAAGATCGTATTTCGTACATTGGCCGGCCAATGCGCGCACTGGCCGGGACGTACTGGCCAAAGTCCGAAGTGCTTAAACTTGACAGCGTATTTCGTACATTGGCCGGCCAATGCGCGCATTGGCTGGGATGTCCTGGCCAATGTTCTATCTAGACTAAGTTGTGATCGCATTTTCATTATTCTGGGTGCGTTTTCATTGAGAGTATCGTATTGTTTGTATAGCATTCTATATGTAAGGCGACATGGATCAAAAGGGCCGTCAGACCATGAGACAGACATAGCAGATGGCTGTCAAAAGAAAAAAATGTAAATCCATGTTAGTTTCCATATATGGGCTCTCGATAAAATAGTTACTGAGGAAGATCTTGAGAACATTGAACAAGAAATGGAGGTTGCCATAAATGCAACGACATCCTCAGCTAACACATCTACTGCCGTGGCGGAACGCCCAGACCAGTTGCGTGACAATAATGTGGCCAACAGATTCTATATAGTTTGTGAAAAACATTGTAGTGCAGCTCATTTTTTTGGATCTGGTGGCAACGATGTCCATGCTATTTGTGGAATACCTAATGAAGCAGACGAAGGGTACGGAGGGAACATTACCTGCAGATTGTGTCACAACAAACAAGACATCATGAAACACAGATAAGCAGCTCATACTAGCTAGCAAACTCAAGGTGCTAAGATGCTTAAAACATCAAATAAAAAATTTGAAGATGGTGAAGTGGCTGACTATGTACGCATCCGTTTTCCAGATGTTGACAGAGGTCACGGTGATCCCCGAAGCGTGATTGCAGTTGTCATGAGCGTGGAGGGCGGTTTCTACAAATTAGGAACGGAACATGGTGTTCTAAAACAACTGTATGCTAGAAGTGAGTTTTCAATTCTTCACGAAAAACTGCTCTTATTGTCGTCAGTTGGCACTGAGGAAAAATCACTACGAACCATCGCATCTTCACAATCATTGACTGGGGACCAAGGCTACACCCGCTGCAATTGCACAACTAAGTGCACAACAAATCGCTGCAAGTGTAAAAATAACAAGCTGCAATATAATTCTAAATACCTTACAAGTTCAACTTGTTGTAACAAATGATGATATTGATAGATTGAGACTATAGTAAAATAACAAATTTGAATGTTTCTGTCATTTACTTCAATTAATAATCAATAAAGACCTAATTTCATGATCCTTACGGCATAAAAAAAACCAAAATCTGCTCATGATCTTCTAATTTGGACTTTGGCCGGTCGTCCCTAGCCAGATGATCTTCTAGTTAAGACTTTGTGCCGGTCCACCTTGGCCAGTCTGCGGATTGGCCGGCCAAAGGCCGAAATCAAGCAAAGTTTCGGACTTTGACCGACCTATGGGAGGCGATATTGGCCAATGCGCGGATTGGCCGGCCAATCCTAGCATTGGCCGACTTCGGGCTTTGACCGTAACATATATATATACATATATATATATATATATATATATATATATATATATATATATATATATATATATATATATATATAATGAGTTTCCGATTTACATCTCGAGTTCGAACCCTCGGGCATATGAGGCTCGACAGCTGGAGACAGTAACTCTTCTAGGAGAGACAACTCCAAAATCAGACAACTGCTGCTTTGCAGTTTGTTCTTGGTTGAACAAAGGGTATGGAAGCAAATCCAAGAAAAAAAAAAGCAGGCTGAAATCGGAATCAACAGCTTATATGATGCATAACAAGTTGATTTTTTTACTTAATTGCGTTGAAGGTAATCTATTCCAACAACAAAAAATAAAAGAACTCAAAAGAAGAAGAAAAACTTCAATTTATAATATATGACAAATTCAAATTTTGAAACTGTAAGCACTGAAAGCGACCACCAAAAGCTGGAAAACATCTGCTTACTTCTAACAACCTCCTGCCTATGCCTCTGGCTTCCACCAACAACCACCTGCCTATTCCACTGGCTTCCACCAACAACCACCTGCCTATGCCACTGGCTTCCACCAACAACCCCCCCGCCTATGCCACTGGCTTCCACCAACAACCCCCTGCCTATTCCACTGCCTTCCACCAACAAACCCTAGACTATGCCTCTGGTTTCCACCAACAACCCCCTGCCTATGCCTCTGGCTTCCACCAACAACCACCTGCCTATGCCACTGGCTTCCACCAACAACCCCCTGCCTATTCCACTGCCTTCCACCAACAAACCCTAGACTATGCCTCTGGCTTCCACCAACAACCCCCTGCCTATGCCTCTGGCTTCCACCAACAACCACCTGCCTATACCTCTGGCTTCCACCAACAACCACCTGCCTATTCCACTGCCTTCCACCAACAACCCCTAGACTATGCCTCTGGTTTCCACCAAAAATCCCCTGCCTATGCCACTGGCTTCCACTAACAACCCCTAGACTATGCCTCTGGTTTCCACTAACAACCCCTAGACTATGCCACTGGCTTCCACCAACAACCACCTGCCTATGTCACTGGCTTCCACCAACAACCCCCCCCCCCCCGCCTATGCCACTGGTTTCCACTAACAACCCCCTGCCTATGCCACTGGCTTCCACCAACAAGCAGCCGACAAGTTGATCTCCTCTTTCTGAAGTATAAAAAAAATTGTCATTTTTTAAATCACCCAATTTTGATTGTATTGAGCTTTTAGGAACTGAAGTACGATCAACTGTAATGGTAAATGTTGTAACCGCTCAATTTTTTTTGTATTTAGTTAAAATTTCCCGTTTGTATCAAATCACTGCTATTTTGGGTAAAAACTAAGATAATTTAATTCATTTCAACATCCTAATATACCTTTTGAATGTAGTTGAGAATAGTTCAATATAGACATTTCATGGCATTTCAATAGTCACCTTTATAACTGTGATATATCCCTCACCTTTACAGCTGACAGTGTTCAAACCTTTTTTTGTGAGCCTCAACCACCCACGCTCTGTGACAAGACATGAACAATTTGTTCTACAGGCGACAGTCTACAACTATCTCCCACAGAACCTCACGGTGGGTTGACCTAAAGATTTAATTCAAATTTTAATCACGATAATTTGTACAAGCACTATCTCTAATAGACTTTCTTTCTTTTTTTATTAACACCGCCGGAGTCATCTCCCATTAGCCAGGCAAACTTCGAATAACTACCACAACTACCCCATATATTTTTCTCTAATCTACATTAACAAATAGTTCTTTTGCTATAGTAGTGTATTGGTTATTTATATTTGTTCCAAAATATTAATAGCTCTAATTTTTAAATAAAGCCACTTTTTCCAGAATATATTTTTAAAATTAATTTAAACTGTAATTAAAAATGGATTTTAGGGATTTTGGTATTAATATTGTAAGAGATAACTAATTTGATGCGGCGTTTTAAAATAAAGCGGGAGTGATCTCCCCTAAACTTTCTCTGATATAACAAGTCGGGATAAAGACGTTTTTAAATCAATTTTTAATTACTTAAACTTTAAAAAAAAAAACAGAAAAGAATCTCGTAGAAAAAAGAATAAGCACCAAGCGAACAGCAAACAACAAACAATGTGTGTATAAAAGTGCGGAATATTAGTAATTTATAAATTCAAATGCGTTTTTTGAGAAATCGGAAATAGTGTAAAGTACTACTTCCAGTCACCAGAATTTACTCAAAATTCGATGGATGGCATAGAAGAATATCTTTTACGTATAGGTGAAATTTGGTTTATTAATCTGAAACAGCATTCAAGGTATAGGCTTTTGAAAAACCAAAAGTAGATTTAGTTCCATTTCCGGTTACCGAAAATCTCTGAAAAGTTGATACAGAACTACAAATCTGATATAATACTTATATCTGAAATTTTATCAACCTAGTTGTAACGGTACTCGAGTTATCGTGTTTACAGACACACAGACACACAGACACACACACGCACGTACACACACACACACACACACGGGGACAAAATTACAAAACTATTTTTTTCCGACTCGGGGAGGTGTAAAACGTCGATTTCATTTTTGCACCACTATAATACTTCCTCTATACTTTGTATACGAGTAAGTAAAAATAACCACAATTGACATTCTCAGGTGAGCGTGTTTTTAAAACCAGACCCCGCGTTCAAGTTTATCAAGATAAGTAAAAACGGAACAGAGAACTTAATTGATGAAAACGTTGAGGTTAATCTTCAGGTGAGTATTGTTTATAGTTGATAACTTTCAAATGGGTTGGGTTTGAAAGACTCGGAATTTTACACCTAACTCAGGCCTAGTCTATTTCAGTATCTTGTAAAGAGTAGCAAAGAACCTAATGGGTTGATAGCATGAACTTTTGCGAGATTCCGTGACAACCTAAATAATTTGCGTTTTTTAAAATTAACCAATATTGTGTACGGTTTGACAAGTAAAAGCTAAAGGTTTTATATAGTGAATATTTCCTGTTAACCCTCATGGATTACTAATGACATATCCAGGTGGGTTCCAACCAGCAAGGTGTGACCTACTTCCCAATCCTGGCATCTGTGGCTGGGGCACTGGACCTGGACGTGTCTGCCAAATCTTCAATGGCGGCTGACGCTGTACGAGGTCAGGTCAATGTCAAGGTCAGCGAAATTAAAACCTTTTTTAAATATCGAGTCAGAATCGTGCTTCAACCAAATCATAAAATACATCAAAGTGTAAAGATAATCAAAACAAAAGATTTTGCAAGAAAAGTGTTTACTTGCATGTATAATATATACAAAAGTACATGTATTTAACTCTACTTTAAAACATTGCTTATATTACGAGTTTATAATATCTAGAGAAACATTACCCGAAGTCAACTGCGTGGTAATAATACATTCATGTTTTTGTTTTCATCAGTTAGAGGGGGCGCCACTCACGTTCAACAACCCTGTCTACGTCACGCTCAACTCCAGCACGAGTTTTGTCAAGTCCCTGAACATCACCTTTCCTACAGGTGTGGTACCTGGGTCCAAGAGAATCAGGGCCGCCGTTACAGGTACCCTTAAGCATCGTCCCATTAATAGATATATATAGACAGAAACTTACATAGTATACTGGGTTTTGGGGTGAGACTTTAAAACTTTATAGTATACTATTTAAGTTCTTGGAGGAAAAAGGGGGGGGGGGTCGTCATATTTGTTTGTGGAAGATTATAACGCAATTGTATATTTAAATCACTTTAATTAAACCATGAAGTAAAACAAGAAAATACTTCAAGCCCAAGTTTACCTTTAGTATAAAATACTTCCAGCCCATGTTTACCTTTAGTATAAAATACTTCCAGCCCATGCTTACCTTTAGTATAAAATACTTCCAGCCCAAGTTTACCTTTAGTATAAAATACTTCCAGCCCAAGTTACCTTTAGTATAAAATACTTCCAGCCCATGTTTACCTTTAGTGTATGAGGTTAGTGTAATTTAATATTTAAAAAATAAAGGTCTGTTTTGATCATTTTTAACCAATTCAAAACAACATTATGTCATTAATTCATCAATCGGCTTTAGTTTACTCTTAAGTTTATCTAAACCAACTTTTTAAAAACCTGTCAGGAGATTTACTCGGGTCAAGTTTGAGTAGTTTGACCTCGCTACAGACCATCTCGGCAAGTTTTGGTGAGCTGAGTGTGTTTAAATTCGCACAGAATCTTTATCTGGCCAAATACCTCAACGCTACACACCAGACCAAGACATCAATGTACACTGAAGCCATCCGTGGCTTGGAAGACGGTAAGGAAAGATCGTTCATTGCTCTTTAAAACTTACCGGTAGTTTTTCATAGCGCTAGAAGAGTTACACCTGTAATGCATTACGAATTTTTTTTTTAGGTTTTTAGGTTAACAATGGCTTGAAAGAACAACCGTTTAATAAACAATTCCTAACTACATTTTTCACAACCAGTGGTTCTTCAAGGCAACCCCCACCCCTAAGTAAGTCTACCGCCCCCCCCCCCCTCCGGACGAAATGGAATTTATATAGAATAATATATACTTTTAACAGTGTCCGCCCTCCCACCCAATGTTCCCTCTAAGGACCAAGAGTGTGTGTGCAAAAAATATGTTGTGTGCGCGGTGCTAAAAATGACTTGGGCAACTTTATATGTATGTTTAGGCTTGCAATTAAGCAGAGTAATGAAGGCATGCATTTTGATATAAATTAAGTTATAAGTTATACTTAGACAACATGTTATATGATCGACTTACTATGTTAGTGTAATGCAATCATATGTTAATAATGTTAATACCATAACGGTAATACAAATACAACAGTTTAACATGTTAACCATTTTAAAAAGCTGACTTGAAAACAAAATTAGCTAACCTTTCAGGGGCATTTATTGCAATTTCTCGCGTCTAACCTTGCCTTGCTTCCACACCTTATATGCTTTGTTTAAATCCTCATCCTCTCCAGCATTTAGATATAATTTAATTCGCATTAGATTCTCCAAATGTGTGACTTCAAGTCTATTTCGTGCTTGCACTTTAATGCTGTTCATAAGACTAAAACCTCGCTCGCAATCAGAGCTGGATGCTTGAAAAGTACAGCATATGTCAATTAACTTTGCCAATGAGCTAAATTGCTCATCGTTTAAAGTAACTCCTGCGATTTCAGTTAGTGAATTTACTGAACCTGATTTGAGTTTTTCACTGATCTGAAATTTGAAGTCATTGTATTGCGTGATAAATGACTCTTCATTTGTTGTTTGTAACAAGTCTTTGCACTTAACGCACAGTTGTTTGATCCCTTTGCCGCCAAACTCAAATGCACAATTTTTTAAACCAGTATGATCAAAAGCTGACCAAAACTGCAATTCATCTCATTGAAACCTTACATTTAAATGATCGCAGACCGATCGTATAAACTGTGTGATTTGTCTTGTGTCGATTCCTACGTTTTCATTCAAAATTTTCTTGGCATTATCATTCCAATATACATCTTCATTCAGGTATTGTGCTTCTAATTTGCGTATTTTAGAAATGCAAAATTGATGTGCTTCAATAGATGATAAATTACTTCGCTGCAACAACATTGATAGATTAGCTAATTCAGTTAATACATCATTAACGGTATACAGAGCAACTTGATACAAGGGATCTCTTAATGATTTCAAAAGATAACAACAAATAGGATCATTGCAGTCTTCGACTTGTTCTTCACAGTAGGCAGCTAAAACATCAAGATTTCTAACCAAAGCACTGACAGCAAAGTGACGTGACAACCAACGAACTTCATGAATTGGTCGAAAAGAAATTACATCCATACCATGCACCTTGGCCAATTCTTTAAGTGCGCCCTTTAAACTGAAGATCGACTAAATAAGGTGTAAACCGTGCGTAAGAGAACCTCAATATTTTTAAACAAATTAACATCTTTCCAAGCGTCAGAAAGTGTCAAGTCTTATCGATGAGCAACACAGTGCTGTTCAACAAGATGGGGGATCTTAGCCTTCAGTAAAGCAGCTAATCCCTTCCTACGGACTAACATAACCGATGCCCCGTCTGATGTTATCATTACCATGCGGTTCATATCAAGTTGATGTTCAGTGTAGTACTGTGTTATGGCTGCATCCAGAGCTGAGGCATCACATGCGGTAAGCTGAATTATCCCACCAAAAACGATTTTGTAGAATAAAGAATTGACTGGACGAAATTTAAAATAAAGGATTAGCATTTTATGTACTGTTATGTCAGTACTTTTATCAACTATAAGCGTGTGGAACGATGCTACTCGAAGTTCTGCCAACTGTCTGGTATAGAAACATACTTCCCCATGTGGTTATGAATCAGTTGTACCGACAGCATCGAGGCGTTCATCCTAATGGCGAGAAGAACATTATCCATTAGAATTCGAACTTGATCCTCGTTTGACCGCTGGGTCTCATTTTGTTCAATTCGTTCTTCTCGCTCAGTGTTAGTTTCAACCAGCAGACGTTTAAGACCAGTCCCATTTGAGCGAGTGTACAAAATCGCAACATTTTCTTCGTGAACACGAGACAAATGACGTTTACAGTAGTCAAGCTTCCATGATTCCCAGCGCTTTCCTGTGACAAATTCGTTGTCTTTGTTGGTTTTGTTACAAGTATTAGCAGCACAGAACTTACACTTCAGTCCAATCTCATCTAAATATTCATAGATGCTTCTTAATTCAACTGAAACATTCTTTGAATCTGGCGTATCGGTTGTTACTTTAACTTTGAGCCATTCCAGTTTAAACGAATCTCTCGCTTTTTTTTGCTGCATTGTTTTACCGCTTGTTACACACATTTTTCTTTTCAACATTTTAAAAAGCACTGAGTAGTAAACTTTTATTCCTTATTTACTAAAACAGTCTGTGAATACTGAAACAGTTCGATCCAGGTGCACGTAATAATCACAAGAATTGGATATACAGTATATAAATCCTTAAACCAAACAGAGTAAAACACATCCACCTTAAGTAACCTAGAATTTGCATCTGACTTGGATAAACCGTCATAGTATCAAGGAGGTGGGTGGGGTTGGAAGATGGGGGAGGGCAGTGACAATAGAAAATAAAACCTTGCATAGTCAGCTACTAGCCACAATCCCTTTTACGGTAAGTTTTGGGGTAAACCCTTAAATCAAGCAGAGGGAGTGTCACCCAGAAATCACATCGGTACCCGCCCCGCTCAGTTGAGAGTTAAGTCATTAACTAGACCTGTGGTATGACAACCGAGGTCACCCCCTCCCCCAGGGGTCACAAGCTTTAAGTATCAGTTTGGTCGAGGCCCCAAAACACAAAGACTGTTCGTTTAACAAAACAGGTACTAAAAATGTCGCTTAATTCAAGCCACTGACCACAATTTTTTTTTAGTGAATCAGTCTTGCCCGACGTTCTGATAATCTGTGCGCGGCATCAGAAAATGACTGCGCGGCACATTTGAAAGTGCTGCGCGGCCGCGCAGCCGCGCAGCTTAGATGGAACACTGCTCCCACCCCCCACCCCCGGAAATTTACCCCCCCCCCTCCCCACAAACATAGTCTATAGTCACAAGTCCAAACGTTGTATCCGTTTCTCTTCAACAAAAGGTAATGAATCGGTTACAGTTAATAATTCGCTTGAATTTAACACTGATTTAAACTAGCACACATCTTAATTAAAAGCAAGAACTAGACTAATAATGGTAGACATTTTATTATTTACTCAACACTAATAAACTAAACTAATTCTTAACAAGTGATAGCCAAATTCGTAATTACATTGAATTTCAATTTGATTCACAATAAGTAGTTATTGTGACTAAATTAATAATGTTTCAAAAATTGTGTTTGTACACATTTGCACACAAACAATGTGTAGGCAACTCAACAATCAGTAACAGCATTCTAAGAAAACGTCATGTCATTACAACATACACATTCTTCTAAAGATGACCTGTGTTTTTAATTCCAATTCAGGTTTACAAACATTGATGGCGTTCAAAAGACAAGATAATAGCTTCAGTAGACACGGTGCTTCAGATGAAAGTGGAAGTGTCTGGTAGGTATTTAATTTGATTTACGAAACATATACATATGCGTCCCCGTACATGCACACGCATATATGCAAGTTCATGTGTATACACGTTCTCATATATTATATTTAAATAAATAAATAAATAAATAAATAAATAAATAAATAAATAAATAAATATATATATATATATATATATATATATATATATATATATATATATATATATATATATATATATATATATATATATATATATATATATATATATATATATATATATATATATATCGTATTTCTGAGATCTTGTTTCCACTCACCATATATGACTACAAGTGTGTAGAGTCTATGTAATACCATTGTATAACATTATATATCATTGTTCATTACACTTACAGGCTTACAGCACTGGTGAGCAGTGTGTTATACGAGGCACGTGACTACACAGACGTTAATCTGTATGTGATTAAGAACGCTCTACAATGGCTACACACGCACAAGAATCCGGACGGCTCCTTCAATGAACTG